TTGTCATGCCATGCTATGCCATGCCATGCTGTACCATGCCACGCTGTGCCGTGCCGTGCCATGCCGTGCCTTGCTGCACCTTGTCATGCCATGCTGTGCCATGCCATGCTGTACCATGCCATACTTCACTGTGCCGTGCTGCACTGTGCCATGCCATGCAGTGCTGCACTGTGCCATGCCATGCAGTGCTGCGCTATGCCATGCCATACTGTGCTGTACCATGCCATGCTGTGCTACACAGCAGTCCTGTGGGGTGGCTGGGTCTCGGGCATGCAGAGGGACATTCTGGGGTAACACTGTGCCCCTCGGGCCACCATCACGGCTGTGCACGGTCCCCAGCACGGCTCCCATGAGCGTGAGCCCGTGATGCGAGCAGCAGCCGGGATCAGCAGTGCTGCTCGCCACGGGATGGGTTTGGATCTGGAGCTAGGCCTGGCCGGGCCCCTGCAGCCCGACCTGGCCTCACGGAGGAGACACTCGATGCTCCCCACGGCGCTGCCTCCGAGGCCGGACGAGGCAGCAGCGCCCGCGGGCTGCAGAGCTGCATGGGGCTGCAGGGCCATTCGGGGCTGCAGAGCCTTTTGGGGGTGCAGAATCATTCGGGGCTGGTGTGTGTGGGGTTCAGCCCCAGGACTCAGGGCTCSCCAAAAGCCGGCATTTCCTGAGCCCGGGGCTGAGGACGTCCACGGGGCTGCCGGCACGTGGGGCTGGCACGTGTCCCACGGGACATGCGGCGCCGTGCGCGGAGGTCCAGCTGCAGCGCCGGGAGCCGGCTGTGCGGCCCAGGCTGCGCGCGGCCCACGTGCCGCGGAGCTGCTGCAGCTCCCGGCAGCGGCCCCGCCACGCGGGGCAGGGCTGCGGCGCCGCAGGGACCCTGCGCCCGCGCCGGGGGCTGCAGCTGTGCCCAGGGTGCGGGGCTGCAGAGCCAGCAGGGTGGGAGGCTCCGCGGCGCAGGGATGCGATGTCCCCAGGGTGCAGGAGCAGGAGCTGCAGGATGTGGGATCAGGAGGTCCTTGGGGTGCAGATAGGAGAGGTCCTGGGGTGCAGGGCCCAGATGTCCCCATAGTGCAGGGTCAGAGTATCCCTGTGGTGCAGGTTGAGGTGTCCCCATAGTGCAGGTTGGGGTGTCCCCATGTGCAGGCTTGGGGGTGCAGGGTGGGGTGTCCTTGCAATGCAGGGTGGGGTGTCCCCACACAGAGGCCCAGGGGTGCAGGTTGGGGTGCCCCATAGCGCAGGTTGGGGTGTCCCCGTGGCACAGGTTGAGGTGTCCTGTGGTGCACATYGGGGTGTCCCCATGTGCCGGSCYGGGGTGCAGRTTGGGGTGTCTCCATGGTACAGGTTGGGGTGTCCCCGCATTGCACATCGGGGTGTCCCCATGTGCTGGCCYGGGGTRCAGGTTGGGGTGTCCCTGCATTGCACGTCGGGATGTCCCTGTGCACTAGCCCGGGGTGCAGGTTGGGGTGTCCCACGGTGCGGGTTGGGGTGTCCCCCCATTGCACATCGGGGTGTCCCCATGTGCCGGCC